AAAAGTGTTAGGACAACTGGGTATCTACGTGCAAGAACATGAATTTATAGCCCTACCTCATACCATAAACAAAACTCAAAATGGACAGAGCCTAAAAGTATTTAAAAACTCTTAAAAAGAATGTAGGAGTGAATCTTGTGATCCTAAGTTAGGCAATGATTTCTTGGATATAATACCAACAGCAGAAGCAATTTTAAAAAATGACATACTGGACTTCATCAAAATTAAATACCTTTGCACTTCAAAACATACCATTAAGAAAGTGAAAGCACAGGCCACAGATGAGGAGAAAATATATGCAAATCATGTATCTAATGAGGAACTTGAATCTAGTTAATAACTTTTACATCTCAATAATAAGACAAATAGCCCAAATTTAAAAACAGGCAAAGAATTTAAATAGACATTTTACCAGAAAAGATAAACAAATGTCCACTAAGCACAAGGAAAGATGGTCAGTATCAGCAATCATTAGGGAAATGCCAACCCAAACCGTAACAAAACAGCACTCTACATCCACCAGTATGGCTAGAATTCTAAAAAAGACGGTAACAAGTGTTTGCAATGATGTGGAGACACCGGAACCCTTATACTTTGCTGGTGGGAATGTAAAATGATGCACACACTGTGGCAGTTTCTTACGACATAAATTGACCACAGTGTCCAGTAAGTCCACCCTCCTAGTTACATATCCATGTGAAATAAAAACATGTATTTGCACAGATTCGGATGTAAAGGTTCATAGGCAGTATTAATCGTAAGAGTAAAAAGTGGAAATAACCCAAACGTTTATCAATTTGTGAGTAAACAGAATGTGTTAAATACAGACAATGGAATGCTATGTGGCAATAAAGAGGAATGAAAGCACTGATTCATGCTGCAACATGGATAAAACTCAAAGAAGATTATGCTAAGTGAAAGAAACCAAACCAAAAAAGCGATAGATTGTATGACTCCATCTACATGAAATGTGTAGAAAAGGGAAATCTATGTAAAGAGAAAGTCGATTAGTAGGTTGGGTGCAGAGGACAATGGGGAGAGACTGCAAACGGGCACAAGAGATCTTTCTGGGTGATGAAATGTTCTAAAACTGAATTGTAGTGATGGTTGTACAACTCTGTAAATTTACTAAAAATCACTGAATTATAAATTGTAACTTAAAATGAGTGTATTTTATGGCATACAAATCATACTTCAATAAAGCTACTTTAAAAAATCACCATTTGTTGAGTTTTGGTACAGTATCAAAGAATAATACCCACAACTATTTGAAAATTATCTTAAAATACTCCATACTTTTCTGTGTGTGAGGTGAATTTTCTTCAAAGGTGTAACACAAAATATGTTGAAATATCTGTTAAGACAGATACCAGCTGTCTTCTCTTAAGCAAGACGTTAAAAATTTGCAAATTTTTAATGAATATTACCTCTCCTCATGAAGTTTTCCAAAAATATAGTTATTGTTCCACAAAAAAATGTTATTTATGCTGACGTAAAATGTCTTCTTAAAAAAATGAATGAATATTTAAAATTTTTCTCAGTTTTAATCTCCAATATGGTACAACCCACATAAAAACAACCTCCTGGGGTCCTCAAAGAATTTTTAGAGTATAAGTTGGTCCTGAAACCAAAACTTTTGAGAGTCATTTCTCTACAACCAAGCCTTCTTGGCCTCTAACCTGGAATGTCCCAGAAGCACCTTTGCCAGTTATTTGTTCTAACTGGCCTCTCTCTACTGCTCTCTGCAGAGCATTCTTCAACAGCTGAGGCCTGCAGAGAAAACAAACAAACAAACAAAATACCGATAAACATCAATGAAGAAAGATATGAAGAAACAGATCCAGGGTTTTCCCCTGAACTTAAGTTCTGATTCCTATTAGATGTAGTAGTAGTTTGTTAAAATGGACAATAATAAATAAAATACTGGCACCCTTAACAAGTGGCATTCTTTTTACTTTAAGCAAAGCAGTTAAGTCATTACCCGGAGACACAAACCATGTCCCATACAGAACCAATTTCCAAACTTCTAGGGCACTCCAAACACCTTCCATTTATTCTACCACAACAGCAACCAAACTGTGTAATCAAACAAAGCATGAGTATGTTTAAAGTCCCACCTAACTCAAGAATTCTCACAGGCAAAATTTCTAGATACTGTATTTTAAAAAGTATGTAACACATTAACAGAAAACATTTTTTTACAAACTCTGAAGTTAGCCTAATAGAATTCCCTGGGAAAGAAAAAAGGTTGTTCTTAACATAATGTCTCTGTCTTAAGAGGGTTACAGTTTAAGACAAAACACAAACCAACAATACTAGGTCATCAAAACCAAATGGCAAGAAAGAAGAAACAGAGGGGTGCCTGGCAGCTCAGATGGTGTACTGTGTAACTCCTGATCTTGGGGCTGTGAGTTCGAGCCCCATGGCGAGGTAGAGATTACTTAAAAATAAAATCTTGTTTCAGCTGACTCTTGTTTCAGCTCAGGTCATGATCTCACAGTTCATGGGTCTGAACCCCACATCAGGCTCTGCGCTGACAGTTCTGGGCCTGCTTGAGATTCTCTCTCTCCCTCGCTCTTTGCCTCTACCCCACTTGTTCTCTCTCTCTCAAAATACATCAACTTAAAAAAAAAAATTCTAAAGAAACCAAAAAACATAAGAACAAGTGCAAGACTGTCCTGTCAAGGTGTAGTCTCAGAGGTGGGAGCGGGGGGAACCTTAGGTGCAGGCACAAACCAATCAAATTGACTTTGGGCTTAAAAGGGGCTGCGGTAGGGAAGAAGACAATCAAATGGAAAGCTATGCATTCAGGCCAACAACAGGACATCTGAAGAAAGGGTGGATCATAATCTACAAGCCTGGTGTGTTCTGTCATCATTCTCAAGAATTACTAGAAGAGCACCCAGTAAGAATCTGAGGTGAGTGGCTTGAAACTGGTTAGTTACTGCGTTGACGAATAAAGATCGGCAGGGCAGCCAGTCGAGAGGCAGAATTACAAGGGCCAAACTATCATTTGAGGTGCTTCACGCTGATATTTTTCTTTGGAGAAGAAATTTAAAATTTTTATCTAACCACTAAGCACTGCAGGTTGAGCCGACACTAGTTTTTCATGACATCATCTGTATGCTTAGGGAGGAATAATAGAGGGGATGCCATGATCTAATAGGATGCTAAAGAGTGGGAACTAGCCTATCAAATCTTGTACATCCCTGATACTCCAAATGAAGACACTCCCAACTAAAGAAAACTCACAATGAAAATATTTCTAAGCCAGTATATTCCATTTAGGAGGAATATGATTTATGCCACAACCTCAAACACACACATACCACACTTCAAGTCCCTCATCCCACAAACATTTACTGAGTATTTATTACAGTTATACAGGGATAAACACATAGATCTGGTCACTAAACTCAAGGAATTTAAGAGATGATGAATATATAATAATCATTGTAAAGAATGAGAAGGATCAGGGTTGAAGTACACATATAGAGCTTTGGGAACATAACTGAGGGAATGACTTAATTGTCAAACACGTTTCCCATTAGTTGCTCTGTAAGGCAGACTGCTTAAAGACTGATCTCCAATGGGGGATCACAAAGTAAAACACTGACACCCCAGTGAGAAGAACTGCCTTAACCGAGGTTCAGATGCTCCAAGAATGCAGCGATCAGTTAAACTGGTTCCCTTCCTAACATTTCTGTTTTCTCAGCAATCTTTATGCCAACACATACTTTGTCTGGGCTTTTAGAAGTCACAGAATTCTGTCATTCATTCCTCTATCTTCTAGTAAAACCATACTTACCAGCTGCTTCAAAACTTCTGAGACTGGCCCATTCTTTTACCACTGCCATAACCTTAGGACAAGCCACCATGCCCTCCCTTCTGGGCACTGTGCTTTCTGTCTTCATAATGCATACCACAACTAGGTCAATACACCTACGGAAGCCACCTTTACGGTGTTAATCAACTGATCAGGTGTCAGGTCCTAAAGCCTCAACCCAGCTTCAAAGCCTTCCATGACGTGATCCTACTCCTTGTTAGTCTAGATGCAGTCAGACCCGGTCTCCTTTTAGTTCCCAAAAAAGAATGCTAACTTCTGTCTCTGAAATTTTCTCATGAAGCTCTTAAAGAATGCCACTCTACTGGGGCGCCTGGGTGGCTCAGTCAGTTAAGCATACGACTGTGGCTCAGATCATGATTCCACGGTTTGTGGGTTCAAGCCCCACATCAGGCTTTGTGCTGACAGCTCAGAGCCTGGAGCCTGGTTCAGATTCTGCATCTCCCTCTCTCTCTGCCCCTCTCCCACTTGTGCTCTGTCTCTCTCAAAAAATAAACACTGAAAAAAAATTGTAAGAATGTCATTCTACCATCCATCTAAATTCTACACTCTTCTATACCTAATCATGCCCCATCTCTTTAACTTACTGTTAACTCCCAGGCATAGCTCCCTGTTCTGAAAAATTTAGTCTATGTCACACCATTTTGCACTCACTATAGTGCTAAGTGCTATTCAAAATATTTCATATGTGTGGAATAAACCAGATAATACAACAAACCCAAGAAATAGGTACTATTATTCCCCATACTTTACAAATGGAGAAAAGCTGAGTGACACAGAAAAGTCATTTTTCCAAAGTCACACAGTTAGGTAGGGGAAGAACCAGTACAAATTTGGGCAGTCTGGTTCCAGATTCTACATTCTTATTCACTATGCTATGCCTGCACTTTCCAATATAAGACAGCCCAGAACAGTGGAAAAAGCAAGTATCATATTGAAAAACAAAACGGGGGGGAGGGGGCATCTGGGTGGCTCAGACGGTTGGGCACCTGACTTCAACTCAGGTCATGATCTTGCAGTTTATTAGTTCAAGCCCCACCATCGGGCTCTCCACTCTCAGCGCAGAGCCCGCTTCAGATGCTCCGTCTCCTTCTCTCTCTGCCTCTCCCAAGCACACATGCTCGCTCTCTCTCTCAAAAAAAAAAAAAAAAAAAAAAAATTTTTTTTATTAAAAAAAATGAAGTTCTGATTTTACCAGTGAGCAGCCAGGTAACCCTAAGATTTTTATCAGCAAAATTGAGGTAGGAATATATATTTTTAAGTCTATTTTGAGAAATATGGAAAACAATGTACAAAAGGGTTTTATAAAGCCCTATACAAATTCAAGGAACTTTTTATTATTATAACATGTTCTCTTTTTTAAGTTTATCTATTTTAAGCGAGAGAGAGGGAGAACACGAGCAGGAGAGGAGCAGAGAAAGGGAGGGAGAGAGAATCTCAAGCAGGCTCTGCACTGTCAGGGTGGAGCCCAACATGGGGCTCAAACTCAAGAAATGTGAGTTCATGACCTAAGCCAAAATTGAGTCGGATACTTAGCCAACCGAGCCATCCAGGTGTCCCAACAGGTTTTGTTTTTAATTAGATAATCAGACCAGTTTAGTTTGAAGCAGAAAATCATGGGTAATTGTTGATGGCCATGTTACTCAACCATGGAGAAAGGTGGTCTGCATTGAGACATATATAAATGAAAGCCATGTGCAGAGAGAATCAGAAGTAAGGGATGAAGAACAAAAAAGCAACTGATAGCAACAAGGATTCTGAGAGCGTTCCATCAGTCTGTTAGAAATGCATAAATGGAATTAAGAAGATCACAAGATGCCTGAAATTGCTCAGAGTTGAAAATGTTTAAGAATCTAAGGGGTTACCAAAGAAATTAAAGAGTTCAGAGATAAGTATAGGGCATACAACTGAATTTGGGCTATGTTCTTATACTGGTGTGGGAAGAGGAAAAAAAAGAGTATAAAGAAGTTACATCACACACAGTGATTTCTAATGCCATGTGACAGAACTACCCTTGAAAGTTTCTGAAGGTATCTTAGAGTGAACTCAAAGTCTCTATGTAAATCCAACATATCCAGTTTTTAATTCAGATTTGCAAAAAATCATTGTTATCAAATACAGAAGAAACTTGCATGTTATATAAAAAACACTGGGATGCCTGAGTAGCTCAGTCAGTTAAGCATCTGACTCTTGATCTCTGCTCAGGTCACGACTTCAATGTTCATAAAATCGAACCCTGCGTCATCAGGCTGACTGCACAGAGTCTGCTTGGGATACTCTCTCTCCCTCTCTCTCTGCCCCTCCCCCACTCATACTCGCTCTCCCTCTCTCAAAATAAATAAATAAAAATTTTTAAAAATACCGTTGGGGCACCTGGGTGGCTCAGTCAGTTGAGTATCCAACTCCTGGATCATAATCTCAGTTTGTGGGATGGAGACCTGCGTCAGGCTCCACACTGGGCATGAAGCCTGCTTAAGGTTCTCTCTTCCTCTCCCTCTGTCCCTCCACTGCTTGCACATGTGTGCACATAGTCTCTCAAAAAAACGTCTTTGAAATTAGAATCCTATTTAGCATGGTGTAATGCTCATACCATGAGAATTATATTGGAACAGAGACTAATATTAGCATTAGTTGAGCACTTACTATGTGCCAGGCACTGTTATAAGTGCTTAACATGTACTAGGAGACGTACGCCTGGTAACAACCTTACTGATACACTGTTTATCAGTTAGGAAACTGGGACACAGGGAAATTACTCAAGGATACAGAGCTAGAAAGTGAAAGAATCAGGATTTAAACCCAAGGGGTCTGGTTTCAAAGTCTGTGCTTTTTACCACAAGCTCTACAGCCGCTAGTATACAGGAGCAGAAACATGTGCCTCATCTCACACACTCTGGGACGAACACTCTTTGTGGAGTGGCCAGGTGAAATGCCCACAGGCATTCAATTGCTCATTCAACTAATATTTATGGACCATCTACTGTGTGCTAGGGCGTGGAGGAAACGGAAGTGAACAATATAGATAAAACTCCTGGCCAGGGTGTCTGGGTGGCTCAGTTGGTTAAGTGTCCGACTTCAGTTCAGTTCATGATCTCGTGGTTCATGAGTGTGAGCCCCACGTTGGGGTCTGTGCTAACAGGTAGGAGCCTGAAGCCTGGCTCGGATTCTGTGTCTCCCCCTCTCTCTGCTCGCCCCTTGCTCATGCTGTCTCTCTCTCAAAAAGAAATAAACATTCAAAAAAAAAATCTTTTTTTAAATCCTGGTCTTCAAGATTCTGACTTTTTTTTTTTTTTTTAAAGTTTATTTTTGAGACAGAGGGAGACAGAACATGAACGGGGGAGGGGCAGAGAGAGAGGGAGACACAGAATCGGAAACAGGCTCCAGGCTCTGAGCCATCAGCTCAGACCCCGACGCGGGGCTCGAACTCATGGACCGCGAGATCGTGACCTGAGCTGAAGTCGGACGCTTAACCGACTGAGCCACCCAGGCGCCCCCAAGATTCTGACATTTTAATGGGGTAGACAGGTAGTTTTAAACAACCGGGCAGAGGCACCTGGATGGCTCAGCTGGTTAAGCATGTGACTCTGGATTTCAGCTCAGGTCATGATTTCACAGTTCATGAATTTGAGCTCCACATCAGGCTTTGCACTGACAGTGTGGAGCCTGCTTGGGATTCTCTCTCTCAAAAATAAACAAACTTGGGGCGCTTGGGTGGCTCAGATGGTTGGGCGTCTGTCTTCGGCCCAGGTCA